GACCAAACTAGACTCCCTTAATATAGGTGACAATGGTGTGACTGGGACATTTTATGAGGCCACTGGCAGTGGGTCCAAGATCTAACACTAATGCACAAACTGACTTAGTGGAGCCCATTCTATATGGAGAGATACCTTACTCAGCCTAGACATTGAAGGTGAGGGTTGGTCCTGCCTCAACGAGATGATGAGACAGATTTAGTAGACATGCTAGCAGAGGCCTTACCCTCTCTGAGGAGCAGATGGGAAGTGGGGTGGGGGGAAGTGAGGGGAGTGGGAGGAGGGAGGGGGAACTGGGATTGGAATGTAAAATATAAATTAATAAATTAAAAATTCCTTATCCTCATAAGTGCATAGTAAATACTTGAAAAAAAAAAAAAAAAAAAACAAAACAATTTTCCTCTCTTCAGCAGGTTTAGCCAGGTGTTCTACCACATTGGTGAAATACCTAATTAGTGAAGAAAACTACTGCCTGGCTCAAAATATTGGTTTTTCATTTGTTTGGGTTTTTTGTTGTTTTGTTTTTGTTTTATTTTGGGAGGGGGGATTTTTGAGACAGGGTTTCTCTGTAGCTTTGGAGGTTGTCCTGGAACTCTCTCTGTAGACCAGGCTGGCTTTGAACTCACAGAGATCTGCCTGTCTCGCCTTCCAAGTGCTGGGACTAAAGGTGTGCGCCACCAAAGCCCGGCTAAAATAAACTTCATGACTTAGTATCAAAAAGAAGGGGGAGGAAGATGAGCAGGAGGAGGAGGAGGAGGAAGAAGAGGAGGAAGAGGAGGAGGAGGAGGAGGAGGAGGAGGAGGAGGAGAAGAAGAAGAAGAAGAAGAAGAAGAAGAAGAAGAAAGACTCCAGGAACAGCTATTGTTGATGAACTTCGCACATGAAGGACTCCCCCAAGAAATGATGGAAACAAGTACACTAGTAGGTACACTGGGAAACCAGGAGAGGGCAACAAAGTATAGATAGTCTCTTCGTGGTCTTTTAGTGAACAAAAGGTTCACTAAAGGTTCACTGCTAAGAACTAGCAACTAAGGCTGAGGCTGGGAAAGGAACACGGATCACAGTCCTATTCGACAGTACTGTGTGACTTTTTTCATATATTTTATAAAGAAGAATTTATTAGGAAGATGATGGGGTTCTCATTGAATAAAGGTTGGGAATCACATGTGGAATGGCCCCTGACAACAGAGAAGCCTCTAACATTCTTACTTCTGCTCTCCATGGACCTGATGGAAGTTAGCCATGACAGCTTTCATGTTTTTAAGTTACACCTTTGCCCAGAAGCACTGTGAAATTCCTGTATGAGGAATTCCTTCACTAGTCAGTGGTAACAGATAGAGGTTTTGCAGACATCCTAGGTCCTGGCTAGGGAAAGGCAGGGTGCATGGGCTAATGGTTCAATCTCCATCATAACAGAGAATTTCTTCTCAGCCGAAGAGTTAGATTCACATTTTGTAAAGATTAATTCCAGAAGGAGCAGAATTTATCCATTAAATATTTTAATGAAACTCTATCTGGCAAGGCCCTGCCCGGAGAGCACTCATTTATCCACAAAGAAACAAAGGGTTACAATCAGGTTGCTAAACACCTAAACAGAGGTAATTACAAATCGATGAATCCTGTCTGCTCCCCACCTAGTGCTGAGATCAGGCACACTGTAGGAAGACTCGACTGCAGGAGGATGCAGTTCAGCTGCTGGAAGATGGGAAGTCATGTTTACAAAGTCCACTTTGGTGTAGCTGCTGAGGGCAAAAGGGTACCAAAGTTTTACTAAGCACCTAAGTCAGTGGGTACCATGGAAGCAAAACAAATTTAAGACAGTGCTCACATGGCTTCTACCCTCCTTTAATTCCCTTATGAGCAAAAGTTGAATGGGGCCCCATGGAAGGTTCCATGCTGTCTCCTAAATTTGATGTAAACCAGGAAAAAAAAATAAGACCCAGTTCCCAGGGATTTTCCAGGCCACTAGCTACCTGTAGCAAACTCAACCTCCATGTTCACCTCTTGCTGCTAGATTCCAGTCTCTCACTTTTTCTTAAAGATCAAACATCTCGACGGGCAGTGGTGGTGCACACCTTTAATTCCAGCATTTGGCAGAGGCAGGTGGATCTCTGGATCTCTGTGAATTCAAGGCCAGCCTGGTCTACAGAGTAAGTACCAGGACAGCCAGAGAAACCATGTCTCAAAAAAAAAAAAAAAAAAAAAAAAAAATCAAACCTCTCTGTTTACTGTGCTGATGCCTCAGATACAACCTGAACTGATTTTCCGATATGGTAAAGAAGATTTGGTTTTATCAGATCTCTAAAAAGAAAGGTTAGGGCTGGTGGTGCACATCTTTAATCCCAGAACTCGGGAGGCAGAGGCAGGTGGATCTCTTTGAGTGGGAGACCAGCCTGTTCTACAGAGCGAGTTCCAGCACAGCCTCCAAAGCCACACAGAGAAACCCTGTCTCGAAAAACCCAGAGAGAGAGAGAGAAAGAGAGAGAAAGAAAGGAAGGAAGGTAGGTTAGGGTGTTTAGAGGTCTGAAACCCAACAAACACACTGGCATTCCCCTCAAATCAGTGCTGCCTTGAGTAGCTAAAAACAGAACAGGTGGGAGGGGTGCACAGCATATGCTGTGGTGCTGTTGTTCTCGTCTGATCCTTCAGAAGAAGCACTAAAAACAGCACAGTCAGAGATTTCTCCTGTGGGAACTGAGAGCCACTCTTCACAGAATGACTGCCCAGAGGCTGGAGTGGATGGCTCAGTGGTTAAGAGCATGTGGTTTGATTCCCAGTATACATCTACATGGTGGCTCACAACTATCTGTAACTCCATTTCCAGGGAATATGATGCCCTCATCTGGCCTCTCTTGGGCACCAGGCCCAAACACGGTGCATAGATATACATGCAGGCAAAACACGCAAACACATAAAATAGAAATAAATAAATCTTTAAAATATGTATATGCACCTTTAAAAAAAAAAAAAAGAATGCTTGACTAGAGCTAGATGTGGTGGCACCAGCCTACCACTCCCAGCTACTCAGAAGGCTGAGGTATGAGAATGACCCAAGTCACAAGTTAAAGATTGCTTGAGGCAGTAAGACCACCCCCCCAACCCTACCCCCACACATGTGACCAACTTGGGGCACAAAGCAGTTGTGATTAGGTTTTCTGAAGAGCCACCATGTGGGTAAAGTCCAAACATATCCTAGGCCACGTTTTCAAAGGAGACCGCAGCATATAGCCTTCTAAAAGTTAGCACCATCCCCAAGGAAACGCCTGCCATGTGAGGTAGCTTTCAGCATGGCCTATCACCTGGCAGGAGTGGTTTTTCTCGTGATATAGAAAGGCAGAGCAGGGAAGGTTCTGCCCTCTACAAATGAGGTTCTCCTGATTGAATGTAACCTTTACACAAAAACTAAGAAGGCAACCCTAAAGAAATTGGGGGGGGGACCCACATTATTTTAAGATAGGTTTGCTTGGAAACTTTAATCAAATGGTGTCATCTCTCCGGATAACTGCTTTAGACGTGCTGTAAGGCAGCCAGTGTGCTGGAGTACGCTGGAGTTCAGGATGTGGGGCAGGGGACCAGGGCTTTAGTTCTGCTCCCCCCTGTATGACTTCTGGCAGCTCCTCCCGAGTTCTGAACCCCTCCATAAAGTGATCTCCCATAGTCTTTGTCGTGCTAAAGGACACTGCTCCTCTGACTGGGCCCTTCTATAACAGGTCTAGGGCTACCATTGGGGGTGTTGGGGCTGCACTTGTGGACAGCCAGAGACCACCTCTGTCGGAAGCATCGGCCACACTCAAGGCAGGAGAAAGGCTTCTCCCCCGTGTGCAGAAGCTGATGTTGAGCTAGGTGGCTCCACTGGGCAAAGCGTTTGGAGCAAAGGTCACAGGCATAGGGCCGCTCGCCTGAGTGCACACGCCGATGACTGGCCAGCAGTGAAGGGTAGGCAAAGCGTCGGCCACAGTCCTCGCAAGCGTGCAGCTTCTCCTCTGTGTGGGTGCTGCGATGGATAGCCAAGGAGCCGCTCCTTCGGAAGGCACGTCCGCAGTCCGGGCAGGGGTAGGGTTTCTCGCCTGTATGCAAGAGCTGGTGTTGGAGCAAGGTGCTGCGCTGGGAAAAGCGGGCTTCACAGTGCTCACAGGCATAAGGCCGCTCCCCAGAGTGCACACGCCGGTGGCTAACCAGGCGAGAGGAGGAGGAGAACCGCCGCTCGCAGTCAGGACAGGGGTAAGGCTTCTCTCCAGTGTGGATGCGCTGGTGGATGACCAGGGCAGTGCGCTGGCGGAAGCGACGGCTGCATTCTAGGCAGATATAGGGCTTCTCTCCTGTGTGTGTCCGCTGATGGATAGCAAGCAGAGATGGGTAGGCGAAGCGACGCCCACAACTAGAGCACTGATGAGGTTTCTCGCCCGTATGCGTGGTCCGGTGATTGGCCAAGGACCTGCTCCGCCGAAAGCAGCGACCACAGTCAGGGCAGTGGTAGGGTTTCTCGCCTGTGTGTATGACTTGGTGCTGAGACAGGTTCTTACGCTGGGAAAAACGTTTGCCACACTGGTCACAAACGTAAGGGCATTCACCAGAGTGTGCCCGCCGGTGACTGACCAACAGGGATGGGTAGGAAAAGCGACGCCCACAGTCCGGGCAAGGGTAGGGCTTCTTCAGATTCTGGGCACATTTGTGGCTCTCCATGGCGGAGTGGTCAGGGAAGGTACAGCCACAGTCAGGGCAGATGGGGCCCCCAGATGTCTGCCTGGGAATCAACCGGGGTTTGCTGGGCTTCCGCCCTCGTTTCCCTTTTCGGGGCATTTCCTTCGGTGGGAATACTTGCTTCTCTTCATTCTTCTGTCTGGTTCTGGTTTCTACCAGGAAACAGAGAAATTAAATACTGGGCTGTATGCTTGCCTAGTAACGTTAAGACTTACAAGACTAATACACTGAGATTCTGTCAATTGTTAGTGTCAGAGAGCTAAAAATGTCGTACAAATGTGGAAGGCATTTAGAGCTCTGCATCCAGCTCATGTAAGATTGGGGGGGGGGAGTTAAGTTGACTTTTAAAACAGAGGGTTTGGGGGCTAAGGGTTTGGCTGGTTTGGCAGCATGCTTGCCTGGAATTCATGAAGCCCTGGATTTGATCCTGCACCACATAAAGTGGCTCATCCTTGCTTACATACCTTTACTAAAATGCACAAGACTTTGTCCTTAAAAATAATCAAACAAAAAACTTGTTTTGTTTTTAGTAGGTGTGGGGTAGCTCTGTGGGGTACACAGAAACCTTTGTTCCCAACTACCCTGTAGAAACTGTTAGTTTCTCCCAATGTTTGGGGGGGGGGTTGTTTAGACAGGGTCTCATGTACTCTAGGCTGGCTTCCAACTCACTATGTAAGGTGGGGGATGACCTTGAACATCTTATTCTGCTTCTACCCTCCAAGTGCTAACATTACAAGCAGGCACCACACCTATTTATGCAGTGCTGGGGAATTAAACCCTAAGTGTGCACATATGAGGCAAGCACTCTACCCCCTGAGCAGCACTCTATGCCATCCTTACAGGGATTCATTCATTCATTCATTCATTCATTCATTTGCTGGTTTTTCAAGACAGGGTTTCTCTGTGTTGCTCTGGAGTCTGTCCTGGAACTCACTTTGCAGACCAAACTCACAAAGCCCCACCTGCTTCTGCCTCCTGAATGCTAGGATTAAAGGCGTGCACAGCGCCTAGCCTTACAGGGTTTTATGATGCATTACAATTGCATATGGTTTCTCTAAACCTTCCCTACATAAAACACCACAGCATACAGCATGTAACTGTATGCCCATTTTACTACACTTCCCTTTTTGCCGATTACTATAGATTCTAAGGGTGGTTTCATGAGAGAAGATGGTGATTGGTCTCCTGGGACTGAACTTACAGAGTTGTAAACTGTCCCAGTGTGGGTTCTGGGATCTGACCTCAGGGCTTCTGGAAAAGCAGCAAGTGCTCTTAACTACTGAGCCATCTCTCCAGCCCAGAATTTGCATTTTTATTTTTTTTAATTTATTTATTAGTTGTAGTTAGGGAACAAGCTTGTTTCACATGTAAGTCCCTTCTCCCTCTCCCTCCCTTTTTTAAAAAAAATTTATTAGTCAGAATTTGCATTTTTAATGCATTCCTGTACTGGTTTTATGTCAACTCCACACAAGCTGGAATCATCTGGGAAGAAGGAATCTCAGTAGAGAAAATGCCTTCACAGGGTTGGCCTGTGGGGCATCTTTCTTAAGTAATAATTGATGTGAGAGTGCCCCTCCCATTTTGGTGCCATCCCTGAACAGGTGGCCTTGGGGTATATAAGAAAGCAGGCTGAGCAAGCCAGTAAGCAGCCCTCCTCCATGGCCTCTGCTTCGGTTCTTGCCTTGGCTTCCTTTGATGGACACACTATAATGTGAAAGTGGGAGTGCAGTAAACCCTTTCATGCCCAAGCTGCCTTTGGCCATGGTGTTTATCACAGCAATAAAAACCCTAAGACAGAAACTGGCACCAGGAGTGGGGTATTGCTGTGACAGACCTAACCATCTGTTTTGAGGAGAGTGTGGTGGCAACTTTGTGCAGGGAAAGCTACTGAGTACTCAAGGTATGGGGGCTATTCTGTGGGAAATTAGAAGATAATGCTGAGAGCAGTGCAAATGATAGAGGCCTAGTTTGTGAAGTTCTAGAGGGAAGCCTGAGACTCCCTTAAACACTCTACCAAGACATACATACATATCACATAATATATACACATATATATTTTTTAAAACTTTATTTTAAAGACAGGGTTTCTGTTATCCTTGGCTGCCCTAGAACTCGCCCTGTACTCTAGGCTGGCCCTGAACTCAGAGATCTGCCTGCTTCTGCCTCCCAAGTATTGGGATTAAAGGTATGCACCACCACCCTGTATCTATGTGATATTTTTAATTAAGAACAACTAAAGAGAAACCTGTGCTTAGCTAGGACAATTAATGCTGGTCAGCTGGTCTGAGAAATTAGCATGCTTAAAAAAAAAATACCAGTATCACCAAGGATCATAAATCTGGGAATATTTCCTCAGGGTCAGCACACAGAGCTGTGGTCCATGATGGGGCCAAGGCAGCATCTCATGTTGGCAGCTGAACTTCATCATATGTTAGTTTCACAAGTATTATTAGTTTTCAAAGGTATAAAGGGTAATGGAGAGCAACTGAGGGTTGGCACTCTGACAGGCAAGCACAGACCACTGGTGAATGTGCAGCTTCAATTTAGCTAGAAACCTCGGATTGAAGGGTTCAGAGAGAGGAACTGAGGCTTGGCAGGATGTCTCTAAAGAAAGCCCAGGAGAGAATACTGAAGATGTAGCCCTGGCATTTTGCAGTTACCATTACCATGGCTGACCGCCCCCACAGCAGCAGTTGTGGGGTTGGCTTGAGCTTAGGAAGCAAGCTGCGTGTGCTGTGGATGACAGTCACAGAGGTGCCACTGCCAAGCCCTTTGGACATAGAAGATCAGGAGTTTCAGAAGTCTGATGTTGAGAAGTTCACACTGTTAGACTTTTGCTTTGATTTTATTGTAACTGTGCCCTGGTTATTACTATTTGGAATAAAGTATATAGCTTATCATTGTTGTTATTATTATTACTTTTACAGGAACCCATAGTTAATTTTAGAGAGATTTTGGATATTCTAGAGAAACTTTTTGAAAGAGAATTTGGACACTGTAAGGACACCCAACTTTTGGAGTGTTTGAATTGAGACCAGGGGATAAACAAGTAAGGGAAGGTTGTAGTTAACAGGGGTGTGTTTGTGTGTCAAGCTGACAAAGGGTCAATTGTGCTGGATTATTTTATGTCAACTTGACATCAGCTACAGTCATTTAGGAAGAGGGAACTCAATGAACAAAATGCCCTCACCAGACTGGCCTCTAGGCAAGCCTGCATTTTCTTAATTAGTGATTGATGTGTGTGGGCCAAGCCCACTGTGGGTGGTGCCATCTAGGCAGGTGTTCCTGGACATATAAGAAAGCAGGGAAGAAGCCAGTAAGCAGCCTTCCTCATGGCTTCTGCTTTAGTTCCTGCCCTGACTTCCTTTGATGATGAGCTGAAAATGTAAATTAAATAAGCCCCCTTCCTCCCCAAGCTGCTTTTGGTCATGCTTGTTATAACACAGACACTAAGACAACTCCCAATTATGTATGTAGTTGGTCTAGAAGCACAATGTTAAAGACGTTAGAGTGTATTTCATGCAGTAGTTCACAGCCCTAGGAGCACATGGGCCTTTTCTTTTTTAAAGGAAAGAGTGAACCGTGGGCCAATGGCTCAGTGAGAGATGGCTCAGTGCTTAACGTCTCTTCCTACTCTTCCAGAGTGCAATGAAGGCTAGGTCCCAGATCCTGGGAAGCAGGATCTTTTTCAAAACTCAGTGATTCATTTATGTCAGTGGAGTATTGCAAGTAGTTAGTTTGCCTACAGTACAAGCAACCCGGTTACCCCTAACCAGACCAAAATTCTAGGTTGGGTCGGTAGAGTTTACAGAGTTACACTTGAGGGCTGCAGGGTCTTCACGGGCGTTTTTCACTCACTTCTCTGGAATGTTACCCATCTCCGGTACTCCTGCGGATCTAGGGCTGCCGGTTCCCAATCATCGGTATTTCGCTCCAACCAGGAGATGAGAGCTGGTTTGGGACCTGCACATCCTGGGGAAGAGAACCAGTCAGAGGGCTGGCCTCGGAAATGATGCTTAAAAAATATGCCGAGGCTCTGCCCCCACCCCTAAGAGCTGGTCGCAGGTCAGGACCCTGGGTCCCTGCCCCCACTCTACCCCGCCCTCAAGCTCCATCATCCCTTAGGCCCCGCGTAAGCCGATTGGGCCGGGCCTCACCGAGCGCGCCCAGGAGGCCGTAGGTCTCGCGCATCACATCCCGGTACAGAGTCCTCTGCGCGGGCCGCAGACAGCCCCACTCCTCCGAGGAGAAGTACACGGCCACGTCCGCGAACTTCAAGGCCCTTGGCCTCCGGCCCCTTCTCCGAGTAGGTGCAGCCTCTCCTGGTGCCTGCGCAGGGAGCGGAGCCGAGGGCGGCGCCATCCGGGGCACCGCGCACCTGGAGACCTGGGAGCCCGACCGGGAAGGCCCGGAGGAAATCTGAATCGGCCGCCTGGGGGGCCAAGGCTGCCCAACACAGACCACACCGTTACTCAGGAAACTCCGGCTGGAACTTGGGTAAGAGGCACCGGAAGATGCCTTCGGGGAAGATGGCGGCGCTGCTCCTGCACCGCCGCTGCCTAGAACACAGGCAGGTTCCAGCTATCGATTTTATTGACCCGAGCGCCATGCCGGCTTCTTAACCTCCCTGCCCTAAAGTGTAATGGCGCTGCGAGATGGCTTCATGCCTACTTTCCCCCTTATCTATTGCATTCGTTCATTGGTCGGTAGCTGAAGATCGGACGTTCTGATTGGGTGTTGACGAAGGCGGCCCGTTTGAATGAAGCCAACGGATTCTTATGGGCAAGAAGGTGGACCGAGTGTTCCGAAACAGGTTTTGAGAAGTGTAGGAGTAAGAGGTTCCCCTTGTGTTCTCCAGTGTTTGTTTGCCCTAGCTGGAGAAGACGCTTCTACATGTTAACATGGATTTGTTGAACAGCTGCATTCTATGACCATAAAGTCACAGCCTGGAATTCTGAAAAGTCCTAGGAAAGAAGGGAGCAGTGATAATATTTTGATGTACAAATGGCACTTCTGGTAAAAACTGAATGACTGGAAGGGTAAGTTGACTGATCTTGTACCTTGGGCAGCTCCTAAGTAGTCTATAGAAATGACTGATCCACCTTCCAATGCTTTAGGAAGTTTGATTTTAGTTTGGAGGCAAAACTAATAGCTTTGTGCTTACTCTTTCTTTGTACAGTGGAATGCACATTTAGGCTGCTGGGGGGGGGGGACAAAAGGCAAATGGCTAGGTGATCGTTTCACTTGTAAGGAAGCAGGGAAGTCAGTCTCGTCTCCACTGTTGCTTTCCTAAATAGTACAATTGTGCCTTCAGCGTGTTCCAGGATAGCATGGACATCACAGTAAGAACCTGCTTTTAAGCTAAGAGTATGTAGTCCAGTGGTAGGGTATTTGCCTAGCATGCCCGAGGATCAAAGTTCTATAAAAATATTTTTTAAAATGAATAACCAGGACTGGGTGTGAAACCAAACCCTTGTATAAATATCAGGACAAACTGTAAGGAAGACTATGCACTATAGAGAAAATGTGGAGGAAATCTACACAGCAAGGTCACACAAAGAGCCAACTAAGCAGCTGGAGTGGAATACTGTTTTCTAATACTTACTGTCTAGAGTTCTTATGGAGATAATTATCACTATGTCACAGTGCAAAACTCTGGCTTGCTTACCTGTACTGTCCACTCCCTCAAATAAAACAACAAAACCATAAGACAGCTGGGCATGGTGGCACATGCCTTTAATTCCCAGCACTTGGGAGGCAGAGGCTGGCAGATCTCCTAGTTTGAGGACATCCTGGTCCACATAGTGAGTTCCAGGCCAGCTAGGGCTACTTCAAAAAAAAAAATGAACAAAAAATAAAAACAAGGGGCTGGAGAGATGGCTCAGAGGTTAAGAGCACCAATTGCTCTTCCAGAGGTTCTGAGTTCAATTCCCAGCAACCACAAGGTGGCTCACAACCATCCATTATGAAATCTGGTGCCCTCTTCTGATGTGTAGATATATATGGAAGCAGAATGTTGTATAAATAATGAATAAAATCTTTTAAAAAAATAAAACAAAACAAACAAAATCCCAACAAATCTTGATCAGCTTGCTCCAAATCTATTATTAGATGTAGGAACAAAATCTGAACCTGGGATGTCTTCTCTGTGGCACTAACAACTCTACATTGGGCAAAAAGCCTTAAGACTAATTTCTCCCAAGTTGGAGAGTTGGCTCAATGGTTAGGAGCACTTGTTTTTGCAAAGGACCTAAGTTCTGTTTCTAGCACCCACATGGTGGCTAACAACCATCTGTAACTCTGAGAAACCTGACACTGTGTCCTCCACCAGCAGCAGTCACGCCTGTGGCACACAGTCAGGCAAAGCACCCAGATTCAAGAACTAAATACTTTTAAAAAGATTCCCTCCATGGGTCATGCTCAGTGAGGGTCAATGCCTAGACATGCAACCTTAAATGTTAGCACACTTTCATTTTACAGACTGCCTGTAAAATGGACCCTGGCCTTTGCCTGAGGGATCACCTCACCATAAATCCAGACTAGGACAAGTAGTATCTGTCCTAGAAAGAAGTAGAAAAACTACTTATTAATGAAAACAATAATTGCCTTTTCTTCTTTTCCAGACAGGGAGGGCCTCATGTTGTCCAGGTTAGAATTAAAAGTATGCATTGTACACCCAGTTTTATTTGGTGCTGGGGATGGAATCCAGGGCATTTATACAAACTAGGTGTCTTAGTTAGGGTTTCTATTAGTGTGATATATGGTTATATTGTTTATGATTTAATAAAGCCACTGAAGATCAAAATAACAAAGCAGCCATACTAGTTAGCCATAGAAGCCAGCCAGGCAGTGGTGGCACACACCTTTAATCCCAGGACTCGGGATTTAAAGGCAGATGGATCTCTGAGTTCAAGACCACCCAGGGCTACATGAGATTGAATCAGTCTAAAAGAGTAACAGAGCTCACAGGACCCATGAGAGGTATTTAAGACAGGAACAGGGTCTCAGAGCTGGCATTCATTCTCCAGCCACACTGAGGAGAGCTTACAGTCTGAGACAGGATCAGCCCTTTCAGTCTGAGGTAGAGGTAAGAGCTGGTGGCCAGCTGCTTTGCTTTTCTGATCTTTAGCTTGAAGCTTGAATCCCAATATCTGTCTCTGGGTCTTTGTTTATTTGTTTGTTTTTCCAGATAGGGTTTCTCTGTGGCTTTGGAGGCTGTCCTGGAACTAGCTCTTGTAGACCAGGATGGTCTTGAACTCACAGAGATCCACCTGCCCCTGCCTTCCGAGTGCTGGGTCTAAAGGTGTGCGCCACCACCTGGGTCTTTTAATTTTCGTGTTACAGTGATAGATGGAAACACCATGACCAAAAAGCAAGTTGGTGAGGAAAGGGTTTATTTGGCTTACACTTCCACAGCACTGTTCATCACTGAAGGAAGTCAGGGAAGAACTCAAGGAGGACAGGAACCTGGAGGCAGGAGCTGATGCAAAAGCCATGGAAGGGTGCTGCTTCCTGGCTGTCCTGGAACTCAGAGAGATCAATCTGCTTCTGCCTCTGAGTGCCAGGATTAAAGGCAGGCACCACCTCTCTTGAACCACATTCTTAGCCCACCTTAACAGATTCATGTAATCCAGTTTCAGACTGTCCTTTCCTAAGTGGCATGTTCTTCACAGATGCATCTCAGCATGCTAAGCCCAAGCCTATCACTAAGCTACATAGCCAGTACTCACTGATACATTTCTGATTACTCCTATATCCACAATCTGAAAGGGGACTTTATAGCGCCTACAGATTTTGTCACTTTGTGCATCTTACTTTTTTCTTCTCCTGCCCCTGCTTTCTCCATTTTACCACTATTGCCTATAATCTGCCACTCCCTATGCTAGCTGAGAAACTTCCTTCATTACCAGCTCATTCCCAAAGAGAGCTGTGTTGTGGAACTTTAACTATGTAAAGGTATGTTGCATTTGTTTAACTAGGCAAAGTTATTTATTTATGCTGCATTTGTTTAATTATGTAAAGATGTGTTGCTGTTTCCCCTTGCTTGCCTAAGGCACCTAATTGGTCTAATAAAAAGCTGAACAGCCAATAGCTAGGCAGTACATGGGTAGGCGGGGCTGGTAGGAAGAGAGAAGAAGTAGGAGAAAGAGAAGAGAGAAGAGAAGAGAAAACAAGGGAGAAAGAGGGAGATGCTGGGGCCAGGCAGCCACCAGCTAGACATGGAGTAGGACATACAGAATGAAAGAAAGGTAGAAAGCCCTGAGGCAAAATGTAGATGAAGAGAAACAGGTTAAATTAAGTTCAAAGAGCTAGTGGGACAAGCATTCATAACTAATATTAAGTCTCTTTGTCTTTATTTGGGAACTGGTTGTGGCTCAAAGAAAGCCTGTTATAGAGGTGACTTAACCATAGGCAGTGCATCTGTCACAGAGGCTCCTACAGCCATTCCTAGGCATGTGTGAGCACAGGTGGCAGATAGGGTTTGGGACACCCTATTCAGAATTCAACAACTTCTCCCCACTCCCTCCCACTCAGACACAGGCTGATACCTTTCTCCAATACACATCTTTCATTATGATTTCTTTCACAGCCCCTGACCTAGGCCAGCCACAGCCACATTTCTGGAACCTACCTGAAAGATGAGTTCCCTGGTACAGGAACTACTCAGGAAGTCTTCCTGACTTTTGCCTCCCTTTTGCTAGACGGGTGGACTGAGGGCTGGTACAAGTAAAGGGTTATTTATTTATTTATTTATTTTTTAATCATTGTGACTAAATACAGAAACAAGGGAGGATGAATTTATTTTGGCTTACAATTTCAGAGGGTTCAGTCCATGGTGGCTTGTCTTCATGCACTCGGGCAGAACATTATGGAGACAAGAACATGTAGAGGAGACTACTCTCACTTCACATCAGATAGGAAGCAGAGAGGGAAATAGGAGGGGAACAACCTATCCCCAAGGACCACCCACAATGATCAACTTCTCCAGGTAGGGTCTAACTTCTAAACTTTCCTGTAACAGGCTTTCTTTTGGGCCACCAACCAGCTGCCAAATAAAGACAAAGAGATTTATTAGTTATGAATGCTCAGCCTTATTTTATGCTTGTCCCACTAGCTCTTATAACTTAATTTAACCTGTTTCTCTTCATCTACGTTTTGCTTCCGTGCTGTTTACCTTTCTTTCATTCTGTATGTCCTACTCCATGTCTGGTTGGCTGGTGGCTGCCTCTCTTACTCTCTCATTCTGTCTTCTTTCTCCTGTCCCCCCTCTTCTTCCTACTTAAACTCTCTGCCTGCCAACCCTGCCTATCCTTCTACTACTTAACTATTGGCTGTTCAGCTTTTTAGACCAATCAGGTGCTTTAGGCAGGCAAAGCAACACATCTTTACATCATT